TATATATATATATATATATATATATATATATATATATATATTGACATCCCTATCATTAATATGCATTTACTTTTTTGTTTCATCAACTGCTTGTGAGATTTGGTTTAGTTTCAAATTAAATCTTTTTTCTGGAAATCACTATTTATTAGTATTATTCCATCTCGTTGCTGTTTTATTTTGTTAGATCATTATTACCTTAATATGTAATGATAATATGTAGTATAAATATAATAACTTCATTTATGTCGTCACTGGTTGTGTCACATAGCGAAGCCTCAGACAAAGCATTGGTTTTCAAACATCGAAACAGAAACCACAAAAATGAAAAGCAAATCTGTCATGTGGACAAGTGAAAATAACAGACTCTGGTAAACACTCCTCCATAGAAGCCTGACTGAGCAGTAACATGCTGGCAATGTTCTATCAGCTGGGTCAGCTGACATCCGCAGTAACCCTCCGCCGAAAAAACCAGCAGCTGTAAACAACCAGACTCAACACCCGCCCACGCATCCATCCGCCTCTCGTCACTAGGGGGCACTACTAAGACCTTTTTAATCCACATATATTATAATTCGTATGTAAAATGGGCGTGCATGGGTGTTTATGACATAAACGTGCCTGGTGTTGCTCATTGGTATTACTTAGTCTTTAAACATGTGGCAATGAGTGTGCGAGCAGGACATAATTAGAGGAGCGAGTGTAGCTCCGAGTGTAATTCGTCAGTGTATGGTCAGAAGGGCCTATGAGTGATGGGAAAGTTAAGTATCAGGAGGCTGTTTATCACAACAGACCGTGTACCGCACTTCTAAAATGCTGCCTCAACGCAGAACAGATGAGCCGGTAGGTTTACAAACAAGCAGGTGCGCACAGCACTGAGGAGTATCATTAGAAGCGCTTCGGGCATCTGCAGGTCAGGTCAGCTACACAGAATGGACACTTTCAACTTCTCTGATCTCACTCACTCTCACATTATTCACCGTTTTAGCCCAGCAGCAGCAACACCAAAAAGGGAGATGCAATCATTAAGAAGAAGAGAGAAATCCTACCTGAGAGAGCTCTTCTCTTGTGGTCCAGAACAGCTGAGGGGTCAGGGTGGAGAGGGGGGCGACAGCAGCACGGCGCGCATCTTCTTGTTGTCGATAAGGAGCTCTGTCTGTTAGAAAGGTCTTTCCTTGCTGGCTTGCTTTCTCTTTTTGCTTTCCCAGTCGTGGTTTTATTGCCTCCAGAGGAGGGGGACGGCGAAAGAGGGGGAGAGATCAACGCAGGCAGCGGCTTGGTAGAGGCGGTGACTGTCCCGAAGATCCCACCGCCAGGAAGTCGCGGAGATCGGCTGAATCTGTGACTTGCAGCCGCACCCCGAAAGAAGCCGTTCTATATTTGTTTTTTACAGTAAAGAGAAATTGGCTTTTCTGTGCTCCTTGCTTTTAGACAGCTGCTGATACAAGGGAAGGAGCAGATAATAGACAACAGCATAAAGTTCATGTTCATAGAGCCTGGGCCACGTGGCCAGCTCCAGCCAATCCCAGCCAGGGCTCAGTCGTAAACTTTTATTACTCAGCTGTAAATTTCTTTCCTTTAACAACCAGGAATGTTTGCGACCATCTTTTACTTCCCCTTTTTCTACAAAAGGACAAAACTAAAATCTGCCACGCACTGCAAGAGCCACAATTCTGCTACTACTCGAAAATAAGTCTCATTTTGGAAATAATAATCTGAAAAACGACCACTTCCTATGACTGACAAGGTGCCATGAAATGCTCAAGCAGCAAATGAAATAAAATAAAAAAATGAAGGTGTAAAAATAAACATATAAGCGATTTGAAAAGAAAGATGATTAGTTTTTATTCAATTTCATTTGGGTCGAACTTCTACACTGTAGGGCATCTGGTTTTCCTGACAGTCAAGTTCTTCTACTACAGCAAATTCAACATCAGTAAGGTACTTTACAGGCAATAGTAGAAGGATTTAAGATTTTAATTAATGCTGCAATCATTGTTTGCTGAAAACGAGTTATGTCTGATATCCATCCAAAAACTTAGAGAAGTTTCTTTGCAAAAAAAATATTTTGCAAATATTAAGCCCTTACTACGTCACCTTTGTGAAGTTTAATCCCGTACATTTTATATGTCGAACACACAGTGGACACTATTTATGTTTAATCATTGCTACATTTATTTTCTCAAAGAAAGGCCTACTATATCGAAATTCGTAAGAGCCATCAAAACCAATACAATACTAAATCGTTGGATTAAGTAAATTTTACAAGGAGATTTCATCCACTATTCTAGACAAAATTTAAGCAAAAAGGCATAAAATTTCTTCAAAACCTTTAACAACAGATATTTTTTCTCCCAGGATAGAATGTTAGTCGTACCCTCACAGGCCGTGATCTTCCCACTGCGGGGCTGAGATGCAGGCCGTTACAAGCAAGGTCTTTACACCCCAATAAAATTTACTGCAGGTACACTAAACTTTATAGGTAATATAACGCTCTGGTTTAAAATAAAGAAACCAAAACAAAACACGGACAGACAGCAAGATGTAAAAGAGAGAAGCTAAATTTGGAACTGGGATACAGAATTCAGTTTAAGAAAAAGACTGGGGTTTTATATGCTTAGATTTTCAGCTCAACAAAGAAGATTAAGCTACGTACGACATGGAATAAAAAAAACAAAACATAAAACTAGAATTAGAAACGGAACAATAATTAGAAACGGAACAATAATTACAAAAGTATAAATAAGACATGCTATTTTTTCAAGCTTCAGGTTGACTGAAGTGATACAAAAAAAATCTATATACTTAAAATAAAAATAAAAACGTTTTAGACAGGCCTAACTTTCACGTTTTAAAATGAAAATTCATTGTATCTTTATCAGATTAATAGGGTCTCCTCTTTAAGACAAGAAATATTAAAATTAATTAGAAAAAATTACTTTAATATTTTATTCAGATGTGTCACCTTTGTTTAGGCATAATATACTAAGAAAAAATAATGCTGCGAGCAAAGAAAATTACATAAAAAAACAAAGCTATTACATAAAAATGTAGAAAATAAGATAAGAAGTTGCGAGATACGTAGTAGACAATATAGATGTCTTAAAAACGAAACATACACAAACCTAAACAAAACACATCTGTTTTGCGATATTTTAACAACATCGTCTCTAAATTTTTTCCGAAATTACTTTTTAAGGACTTGTAATTTTTATTTTTATGTTTTTTTTTTTTTTTTTTTTTTTTTTTTTGAGTTTTTAAAATGGGCCTACTTTCTGAGCGGAAACAAAGCGGAAAGTGGTAAACACGCAACACCAGGGGTTTTGTACAGATTAGACGCCAGATTAGTGAAAAATAGCCAAATATAAACTTCCAATTTTGCAAGGGGCGGTTGTATTAAAAATAAAAAACACTATGTAACTACATTTATGAAGTGATATATCTAAACTACACGTTGTGGAAAATAGAATCAGATTTTAATTTTGTTTATTTGTTCGACAGGTACTACACAAAGGAGCCCAGCAACACCCCGGGACCTGCGCCGCAGCACCATCTGAACCACACTGACTAAGAGCTTTTTAAAATGGACTTTAATTGTAGTGTTCCAATTTTTTTCTTGCAAGGTAATATTAATGTTTTCCTAAACAGCTGGCGTAAAAAACAGCAGCGGAACCGAGGAATAGAAGAGCTGCGTTTTGGTTCTACTTTGATTTTATCGTTGACGTTTTCTGAAACTAGTCTGCGCACTATTGTTTAACACAAACACCTTAGGCCCACACTGTACAGATTTAGACCCCCGTCCCCCCATCTTTCTTTCCTTTTTCCATTACCTAGTGTGATTATTAACACCACAGGTCAGATGTTTGTTCATCTCATCTCGAACAGCCATTACTCTTCTCAAGATTCATTAAGAAAAGTCTCCGGTTCTCCCTGAAGAGAGGAAGTTTCTTATTAAGAGGATGAATCAAATGCAGCATGCTGTGAGAGGGATTCCAAGACATTTACCTTAAAAGGTACACTGAGACATCTGCAGGCGCATGACTGGCGCATATTTTATTTGTTAGATGCAGGAAAGTTTAATTAGGCTGGCGGGGAGGCTGTTCAACGTTCGTGTGCAAATGTTTAAGAGGCTGAACGTCATTAGAGGAAAGAATAACTCAAAACATTAAGTTCTTTAGCTCATTAGAGACTGAAAGTTTTTAATCACTTATAACAAACTATTTGAAGTTCAATAACTTTGGGTATTAATAAAGATGTCCGCCAAGAAAAAAATGGTTTCGTTTATTTTTTCTTTCTTTTTTTTTTCTTTTTTTTTTTAAGGCGTCCGATGTGTGTACAGTAATAAGCTCCTGCAAAGTCAGAATAAATAAAAAAACAGAAAAGTCATAAATGAATGTGAGCCATCTTGTTTATTTGTGATTTTACATCAACAATAGGAGGGGAGGGGCACACAATTCCGTCTTTCACACGATAAACAACAAGAAAACGAGCATATAGTTATGTTAACATCAATATAGAACAAGACGTACATAAAGATTATATTCAGTGCAAAGAAAACATCTACTCTACATCACCAGCACATTAAAATAAGAGTTCCCTTTTTACATTTTTTAAATCCTTGTAATTGTTGCAGGTATCATCATACGCAGTCCATGTGCGTCATAGGCAGTTTTTAGTTGTTGGGGAATATAGCTTGCAATCAGATCAGAGCGATGCCACGCATGTGTGGAATATAAGAAATAATGCGAGGACAGAGCTCTGAGCTTTAGGTAGTGCTGTGGTACAATCTTCCAAAACTGGCTTTCAGCTAAATTGTCTTCCCAAGACTCCAAAAAGGAAAGAAAAAAAATTGTCTTCACCAAGTGTTTATTGTATATCGGCTAAAAGCTATACACATAACTTAATAATATAAGGTTGACATATAACACTTTTAAAATAAAAAAAAAACCATATGAAATCTCTTTATTCAGAAATCTCTATTGCAATTCCCCCAGGTTAACATAGGTAGCATCAAAGGATTTCAAACAGTTGCGTTTCCCTGGTGATCCTTGGAACAATGAAGGATGTTGGAGGAGCTTTCATGGCTAAGTCGGTGTGTGTGCCATTCACATAAACGCAGAGGAAATGATGAAACCAAAACAGTTATTTAACAAATCAAATTATGTGTGCTTAGCCTGAAGTAACAGTGTAATGATGTCTAAACACTCATTTATATGTTACAGGCCTACATTTCTTTAAAAGTTTGGAGTCTGAAATGAAATGTTATTGCATCTATTTACAACAAGTTGGCGTTATTGGTCATGGGTTACTATAATGTCGACTTTTTATAAAGAGAATTAAAATTGAAGAAAACAAACAAAAAAATAGCAATTTTCAATCTAACATGCGTTTTTAATTTGCCCCTTGTATTCTTGTGCATGGGTGAGAGTCCTATCATTAAAGAAAATTCTACTAGCGTTTTGTTGCGTCTCCAAAATTGCAATGCTGGATGCTTCTGGGACAATCGAGTGGAGAATTTAGTCTATTTATGACAGTAATATGGGATTCCTGTTCCCTCTTGACAAAATAAGAAGGGTGGTCATAAAAATGACGCTCTCTGCCTCCTTGTGGCTCTTCGTCTGTTTATGGGACCTTTCTCCTTTTTTTTCTCGTTTCCAGCCATATAACCATAAAAAGGACCATAAAAATCACTCCTTGCTTTCTTCTTTCTCTTCCGCTTCTTTTTCTTCTCCCTCGTCCCCTTCACCGTCCTCGTTGCCCTCTTCTTCGGCCTCGGCTTCGGCCTCTCCTCTCTGACCCGGAAACTTGTCTTTGTTGTTCTCCTTTTTCCACTTCATCCTCCTGTTCTGAAACCAGATCTTCACCTGGCGTTCGGTGAGGCTTAGGGCGTGGGACACCTCGATCCTCCTCTTGCGGGTCAGGTAAGGGTTGAAGAGGAACTCTTTCTCCAGTTCCAGGGTCTGATAGCGGCTGTAGGTTTGTCTCCCGTTCCTTCTGCCTGGGGCTTGGGTGAAATAAAGCCAGAGGTTAGCAGGAAGAAGCACTGGGAACAATCAGCTGGGAGAAAACTTAACATAAAAATGCAAAAACAGTCAATGTTATTGGGATTTTCTAGAAGGAAAAAATTGCTTTTCACGATGGAGTTGGGTAAAATAGTAGCAACTATAAAATAATTGCCCTCTATTATACCTGTACATTTGGGACTTGCTAATGACATATCTATCTATCTATCTATCTATCTATCTATCTATCTATCTATCTATCTATCTATCTATCTATCTATCTATCTATCTATCTAT